AATGCATTGTGAATACTCATCAGCCTGCGGAGGAACAGCCTCCAACAGTATGGGATTAACTGATTAATCAGAGGGAAATGAAATATCTGTCACTGTCTTCTCATTATTTCCAGAGGTCAAATGATTTCATCTGAAGGGACTATTAAACAGTTCTGGTGTGTGTAGCATTAAATGGTGTTTCTTGCAAATGACCCAGGTCTTTCTAAATCCATTTCCAAAAATCATGAAATGAACCCTCTATTTAACATATTTATAGAGACACGGAGGATTTTGAGACATTTAAAGGTCAGCTTGCCCTTTTTCCCTCAATTCTACTTCTGTACTCCGTCCATTAGAGCTGTGTGGTGTTATATCAGAGGTCCTTGAACAGCTGAATGCTATTGGACTCACAAGGACAGCCCTGGGCCCTTCTCATTAAAGACCAGCAATTCATTTCATTTTTCTGCCGCGGTCATTTGTTTCAATTAAAGCACACCACTCACTGCCTGCACACAGCACTTTCTTATATAGATAAAATGGTCTGTAAAAGTACAGTTCAAGTGCAAAGTTTGAGGAAACAGAATCTGCATTAACAATTTTGATCTTTCTCTCAACAGTTTATAGAGACCATCATCTTTTGCATCCTGCTCTATCTGTACAAGAGGAGGAATGTGAAGCATATCGTCATTGTGATGCTGCTGGTGGCCCTGCTCGGTATGAACAAATGGAAGCTGCCTGATTGAGGGCAGAGGTTATGGATTAAACCATTTTGGGGAGTCAGAGGTTGCTTTGTTGCCTGGCTACCAAAAATGGGCCCTTGCTCCGTTATCATTTCAGTTAAGAGCCGCGTAGAGCACGATGGAAGAAAATAATTCACCAAAACTCACAAGGAGGCAATTAACTACCCCCACGAATCAGCATGAGCCAATGAGGAAGTTCTTTATAGCTACAAGTTGTACAACTAAGTGAAGCTGAAGTGTTGTGTTGCTTGTGTGTTGCTGCAGCTTCTCTGACAGTCATCTCAGTCAAAGCTGTGTCAGGGATGATCACAGAGTCAATAAAAGGACAGCTGCAGCTCATCTACCCCATCTTCTACGTCATGCTTGTCGTCATGATCGTCTCCTGCGCCTTCCAGATCAAGTTAGTCAAGGTTTTCTCTCTCTCTCTACTTCTGTGTACCTTCTTTTTTTCTCTTTCAGCCTGTTTTTGATTGCTCAAATCCCACAGGCTAGATGCAATTTTGGCTTTCCAGTTCCTGAACATACTGAGGAAAATAACACATTGGACATGGTGACATTGTACCTGCAGCACACCTACTGTATCATGATGGATGAATAGGCCTCTAAATATTGTCTCTATAACCAAGGTCATTATATTCACTGCACATCTCAATTATTCTTTTCTTCCCTTGCTACAGATTTCTCAATCAGGCAATGAAAATGTTTGATGCCACAGAGGTGGTTCCTATCAACTTTGTGTTTTTCACCGCAAGTGCCATTGTTGCAGGTATGTCAGCCATAAAGCTGTCACTCTCTGTGGGTTTTACTCACTGCCTTCTGCTTTCCTGTTAAAATGATAGGATAGTCTCATGAAAACACCAAAATAAACAATGAATTGATCCAGTACTTCCTGTGTAGCCTGATATAGAGAATTCTGTGCCCTACAGGTCCAAAACTTATTAAAAACACATCACTGAGCCACACTGTGAACTGGGTGACACTATGTTCCTTTATAGCTACTGTAGTTTATTTTAAGTCAATCCCACATACACTGTCTGGGTGCCACATATACTCACTAGCAAAAAAAATCTATAGCTCCAAACTGTCCCAAACAAATATATAATTCATTCATTCATTCATTCATGCTGAAAATTACCGAGTCAACAACAATGCTAGCAGAAACAGCGATGCCTTGAGCTAAATGCTAAGATCAGCATGCTAACGTGTCAATGCCTACATGCTGATTTTTGTTAAGCATCCTAATATTTGCTAATTGACATTATCTGTCTCATGTACTGTGAGGATATAGTGGAAGTTTCAGCAAATATGACTAAAGCACACGAACAGGGCAGGGAAGGCAGAAGGTATTGCAATACAAACGTATTATTAGATTTGGTCTTTTCATTTCATTTTTGGCAGAAAGAAAAAAACTGCCTCATCAGCAATAATTCTATGGAGGATATTCTTTCAAACTCTTTTTTTAGTAGGAAACACTTTTTCTGATGATGATGTGCTCCAAAGCTCACTGCAGTAGTTGAAATCGATTCATGAAGCAACACAGTGGAACATAATACACAGTCAAGATGGTGATTCACTCCTGTATCTGTGAACCACTTAGGAGTCCTTGTTCAGCAAAAGCCCCACACTATTTATAGCATGTGTATTCTACCAGGTCAGGTCTATATTATCCTGTCAGTAATAGTGCCTTTTGTTCAATCTGAAAAAATCAAGACAGGGCTTCTCAAAACCTTTTTGTCTTGAGGTAAAAAATACACCCTAAACACTTGATGATTTAAACCCATTTTTGACAATGGACCTTACATTACCAAATCCATGTTCTTGTTTGTTATTCTTCTACCACTGGTGACGTGACGTCATTTGAAGCTATTTCAAGTGCCGCTTCAGTGGAGTGTAAAAGCAGAAAATGTTCCAGCAGTCCAAAACATCAACAGTATTCATCTACTTTTGGTGTCAGTCTGTTAGAACAGAAGAACATCAGCCTCTTTCCACCACTTTGCACTGATGTCCCATAATCACACAGGGAGCCATCCATCATAGAGGAGGGAGCACCACAAGGCATGTGGTGATTTGAGTTTCTCTCACCTTTTTCTGAGAATCTCCTGCTCTGATATTGCTCTTAGTATTATTATTGCTCTCTCCACCTACACACATAACCCACAATTGACTGCATTGAACAACAATTTGCTGATGTATTATATCTGGGGGTGGACCTTTCCTTTACGATTAGCTTTGTTACACATTGAAGAAAATTACCGTTTTTTTCAGAAGACTGGTGGAGTGAAGCAAGCATGTGATCACATAAAAGTGAAGACAACACGCAGTTTCAATAGTCTTAAGTTTGCCTATTGGAAAGGTCACTGAGAGGAATTTGTTTTGTTTTTTTACTGGATACTCAGAGGGTTAGTCATGATCCTGGACATTTTCTGTGTTGCTACTTATCTAAAACTATATATAAAAAACTATTTTCTCTCCTCATCCAAGTATAATGTGTGCTCAGGATTTGCAGGGCTGTGTTTCACAAACAAAGCATTTGAGATAATTAAATCTATTTTAATGTGATTTTTCATTTTGCAGGGATAGTATTCTACCAGGAATTTGAAGGCTTGGCTTTACTGAACATTTTTATGTTTCTTTTTGGGTAAGTATTGACACACCAGTAATTGCAGCTTAAAATGTGGTATTTACTGTACGATGGTATCACTCCTCCCTGAAACTCTTTTCCAGTTGCGTTCTGTCTTTCCTTGGAGTTTTCCTGATAGCCCGAAACAGGCCAAAAATAAAGCAGCAAGATCGTAATTTTATCGCAATGGATAGGATTCCTGGTGAGTTTTTTTGATCAACTCTAATACAATATAGTGCTGACCTATTTGTAAGTATGGTGTATTGATTAGCTGGCAGTGACAGTATGAATGTGGTGGCAGTGACCCTGGATTTATCTGACTGCTGGTGTCTGCAGCCCTGGCAGCAGGGTCCATCTAATGAGCTCTGCTGTCCGTGTTCATAGGGAGAAGCCACACAGACAAAGTGCAGCCCGAGGCAAAGACTCCGACATACGGATCACTGGCAGCCAAACTCATGTGCAACAGAGCCGGCCAAACAGATGATACATAGGACCTGCTCCATCTGTTGGGACTGTAATTGTGAGGATTTGTCTGTACACGCTTCTTCCTGGGTACTTCAGTAATATCTTTATTTATAGAATTAAAATTGTGGGCACCAATTCAAACCAGTGCCAGCTGAGCGGCAGTATTGGTGGCCATATTGGTCTTATAACGTCAAGTATCTCTTTCAATATCAGTGTTTCTCTGGAGTTAACAGTACTTTCAGCAGGGTTGCCAGGAATAACTGATGAGGAAAAACTGACTATAAATGAGATGAAAAAACCTCAGGATCACAGTGCAAGCCCAAAATGCCAGACTTGCGACAACATTTAATAAAAAAAAAAAAAAACAACAGTCCAGTAGCTCACTGTGACAAATACTTTCCTATATAACATATGTATATTGTTAATGAATTCAGTAAATTAGTGTTTGTGTGATCCGTTGTCAATAAACAGACAAAATCTGATGTTTTAACAGTCTTTTTTTTTTTTTTTAGTCTTTAAAGAGTTGTCATACAGGAAAATAAGTGCACTACTGCCCTCTAGTGGTGGGGGAAGCTCAAAGATGACCAGGCAATTTTGTGTGGTGTTAGTCTGGGTTGAAGTGAATTCACTGAATTTGAATGAGTTCAGTGGCAGTTATATAAACCTTCCCTCGTGGCTGATCAGTGAAAGTTGCTCACATTTGTATGGCAGGTTTTTATTTGTGTGAAAAATTTGCGCGTGCGTCACTCCGAAACCCGTTTCCATGGAGTTGTAATATAACTCGTCTAAAAAAAAGCACTAATGCACAGCCTGCCCGCACATCTTTACCTCAAATAAACCGCAGACTACATACTCAACTGCTACCAAACTTTAGTGTTGCCAAGCAACAAAACTCTTATCTGCCACCTACACATTATGGGATGTGTGGGAAACCAGTGTTTATGCCAGTGTAACTATAAAAAGAATGCATGTATCAGTAAGGATCAGTTGTTCAATGCATTTACTTATAAAGAGCCAGGCCATAATGCATATTGCATTGTTGGAAGTTAAACTATTACTTGTATGATTTTGCACAAGAGAAGGTGACTAATTGCCCACACATGGCATATTCTGTCTAGTGCCGTATGGGTATTTATTAGTTTATGTTCAAACAAAACCTTTTCAATGCAGTGGCATTTTTAAACAGAAGCTGACACTTTTCTCAAATTCAAACCTATTTATTTGACTTTTTTTAAATAACAGAAGGCCAACATAAATACTCATCAGCATGGATACAGAAGAATGTAAAATAGGCCCCAGATTAATTCCATTTTGGATAAAAGGCTTTCATTCAGTTACAGTATTTAACTGAAGCACCCCTCTGACAAAGGCGCTGGAAACAAATACGAAAACAACCAACCTTTTCCAACTGAAATAATGAGGGTGTCACTTGCCAGAGTAAAATATACACAACTAAAAATGATCTTTTCAACAGCACCACAAGGTAGCTTGTAGTCATGCCTTATGCATGCCGTCTTTAAGTCTTTAACCAACACTGTAGAGTAGATGATGGCACAGTCCAAGAAAGCAACTATCAAGGCACAGAAATCACTTAGTGAAGGAAGCATCTTGTGACTTATTGACATAATTTCAGGCCTCTGCAGGACAGAAATCGTGTTGATCTTTCTCCATTAACCAAGAATTCAGTGGTTTTTGGAGGCCAAGCTCAGATGTTTTAATCAGACCTCAATGTTGATTTTAGCAAAGCGGTAATGCAGGGAGGCGGGGTTGCGCAGCAGCAGCATTCCTCTGTGCTCCATCGGCTGCTTGATGAGGGTGTTAAGGAGACCGGCGACACTGACAAACCCCAGAGCGTCCCCACAGCCTGCAGACAGGGAGAAGTCGCCCTGAGTGACCCAGCCTAGAGTCACCCGGGAGCAGTGAGAGGTAACACTTGGCAGAGGATCTGGCCACAGCCCGAAGATACGGTCCAAGGAAGACTGGGGAGAGGATTTGGGGTCTTTGGATGTTGTGGGGTTTGGTTCAGAGGCAGAGGGAGGGTTTGACTCTTTGCCTTCGGTCTTACTAGACAAAGAGGATGTAGCAGCTTTCTTGGGGCCCTTCTTCCTGCGTTTGATTCTGCTTTTAAAGTGGTCTCTGTGCGGGGGCTCCTGTGGGCCGCTGCTGCCGGGCCCTTTCTTCAGCAGCTGCAGGTCCTCCGCAGTTGGCACACACACCATGGCATGGAGCTCTGGTTTGCCCTTGGACAGCAGTGACAGACGGACCCACACCAGACTCATCCCGTGTGCTGTAAGGAACGATGTGGCGGCTGAGCGGTCGAGAGGCGGCAGCTCCCTAACACGACAATGCCTTTGACCTTTAGATGTCGTGGGTCTGCACCAACCAGAAAGCAGCCTCAGTGACTTTGTGTTCCTAGGAAGCATAAAACAAAACCAATATCCACTTTATAATATCTACTTATATCAGGCGATTAATAATCAAAGGAAAAGTTACATTTTCATTGGCCCCTTTAAGCATCCTGAGAGACATACAATTTGGTTGCAGAACATTTTTTTAATTCCTAATGCTGAAAACAAAAAGGCAGCCAATGGACAGTGAAAATCAATCCAATTTTTTGCTCATAAAGTCAGTCATTACTCAGAGCTTGTGTGATGGTTTTATGAGGATAGATGCAACTCTTCCCCTCTACTAATCTCTGTGATGTATTGCAGCAATTTAAGGCTGGATGTACTTTGGGTATTCTCATCAGGGACATTATGATGAAAGGGAGGTAGACTGGAGAAGCACGATGCATCAAGCCTGTCAAAAGCTGCGCTGGGGTCTCTTAATAAAAAATAGCCAAGTAGAAAGTGATGATTGGAGCCCAAAGCCCCAAAAAACAGTGCACATTCCTCCTCAAGGGACCTTTAAAAGTCAACGGCATTAATATTGTTAGGGGTGTGATTTAGATGTGCAGGATGTTCAACGTCTGAAGGGAGCTTGGCGGAAACTTCCAGTGGGTGTGTGTTTTAAGTCAACACTGATATGAGTTTATTTTCACAATTAGACAAGGGAGAGGATAAAAAAAGAGAATCTTCAGTAAAAATCACAAACATGAATATGAAAGAGGTAAAGACAAACATTAACCTCAGTACAGTGATGCGGCTCGGAGGCTTCGTTACAGTGATATCTCTATGTGATGTCACCTCCTCATCCATCTCTGTGTCAGCCTCTGTTGCAGTCCTAGTCTGGCCGTCTCCTTTCCTCTCCTCTCCTCCTTCCCTCAAGATAAGCTCCCACTCCTCGGCCAGCTGTTGCCATGGGCAACGGAACGGTGCCAGACAGCCATGTTTGATGTAATTGGTCCTTTTGGCGGGCGGACGCCTACAGAAGAGGTCAGGAGGTCAAACCCTTGTCAAACTGTTGGGGCAACCCTGCCAATTTATGTAACAAATCATGACTGCTTAGCCACGGATAGTAGAGGAAGAGCAGCGTGCAGCCTTATTACCATCTCATCTGCATGGTGCATGGAAAGATCTGCGTAATGGAAATTAACTGGGGTCAGAGCTTTGGAGTGCTTCCCTCTATCTAAACCTCTAATCCACTGACATTCTCACCACTTACTTAGGCTGCAGGCTAGCGAATATTATCTTTTCCTGAGCAGATGATCGTACAATTATACGGTAACAGACCACTACAAGGTTTCTTTAGTTCCACCGTAGCATCAGTATCGTTATGTTTTTAACTAAAAACATTTTCTCACAGTTTAAAGGGTAATTCCATGTTTGCCAACGGCTGATTAAAATATATTGTTTTAACACATCCATCAGTAAAATGGACCTTCTACATTTTGGGCAAGTCCTTAAGATTCTGTTTTCTATCAGCAGGCTGACATACTAATAGATGCCAAAATAATATTACAAGATACACAAAAACTTTGGCAGCACAAGATGTCCCCACTGAAAACAGCCCTTACCATGTTTCTGATAATAATCACACAGAGCATTACTATTTTTGGTTCCTTTCTGGCTCGGTCTACAGCTGACCTTTTGAACTTGTCCAGGAGCTCTGTCTCCTGCTCCTCCTGAAAGTGGACGCCTGCAGGGCAGTCTGGGTAGTCATGGGGGAAGTGGGGGGCTCCTTTATTCTGAGAGTGTTTCAGACTCATGTTCAGCCCTCCGATGCGGACTCCTCTGTACACCTGGCAGAGGGAGAAACAAGGTCGGAAAAGAGTAAATACTGGGTTTCAGGGAACTTGGTATATAAAGCCAATCTGAGGGCTTCCAGTCTGCCTTCAAAATTTCAAGGTACATTTAACATTTTTACAAAACATGCCCCAAAACATGGACGAGGCAACCAAATAATGAAAACATATTTCAGAGCTTTCCATATGGACATCCACTGTATTATACACTGTATACATGCAGCCTAGTGGGAAAACAAAACTGCTACCTCCTGCCAGAAATGAAGACATAATTTAAAATTCTGTTAAATAAAAACACTGTCCGTGCTACCTACCAGTGGGACCCAGAAGGCCATGCCCCATCCTTTAGGAAGCAGCAGGTCCCATCCAGCACCCCAGGAGCTCATCTCATGTCCCACCTGCTTGCCAGGCTGGTGAACCAGTAGGATGGGGACTCGGCCCTGCAGGGGAGTGGGGCTCAGCCGTGAGCCCGGCACCAGCACCTCACTTCTCATCCGGTTCAACTCCTGCAGGCAATAAGCAGAAAATGCTAGAGGTAATAGCAACATCTAAACTTAGCTATACTTTCAGAAATAGAGATGTTAGCAAAAGATGTGAAAGAAAGCTTTAAGATAGTAAATAAGGCAGCTAACTTTTTAAGCATATCTATAATATAATACATAATAATTGTGATTGCTGTATGACATTTCTGGTAGTAAGAAATTGATAAACTACCTGCTCTGATATCTTGTTATCAGTGACATTGTCCCGGACAGACTGCTCCCACAGGTAACTCTGACAGCAGTGTTCAGGTACTCCTCGCAACATCAGCTCCTTCCTTTTCTCCTCGTCCACCTCTGAAACAAAGCCACAGCACACACACACACGGCATGCTCCTGTATGACCGGCATTACTAGTGTCAACAGAGACATACGAAGCGCTCTTGTCTGATTTAAAACCTGACATCTAAATGAGCAGTGGATTGATTGCCCATTAATGAAACACATGGGGTGGAAACAGGAACATGCTGTAAAAGTCCCTCATTTACAATTTATTATTAACATATGATGCACCTAAATGTGGTTTAAAATGCTGCTTTGTTACAGTGCATTACAATATAAAAGCTGTATTTTTAAGTTTACTGAAAGGAGTGTGCCTGTTCTCCAAAAGGAGATAAAATAAAGAATTATTCAATTATATGTTAATAATAATATATTAAATAAATAGTAATATATATATAAAGTATATATTAGTTATATTATATACCGTATACTAGGTAAACATATATATAAAGTAGATAATAATATACTATACAGTGAATAATTCTTTATTTATTTGTTGTAATTGTGTCTGGTGGATACATTGCATTGTTTATCCTACAAATCATCCTTCTGCCTGTTAGACTGGAAAACGACCTGTTTACCATTAACCATACCAATAACAAGGCAGGTTCTGAAACTCTGCCCATGAGGAGAATTAACATAAACACTAAGAGACAATTACAAACACTATTGGCTAATGTGGCTGCAAAACCCTTCGCAGTTTGGGTAAAATCAGTTGCACAGTTCAGCCCAAATGGATGTCAGCCAGTGAACAGCTCTGTTAAAAATCATCTGTGACTATCTCCCATGAAACTAGTGAGACCTCCTGCTGTTCTCTCTCCAATACTGAGAAACACAGTGAGGACACGACAGCTTTGGCCCCAGCTTCTAAGAGGTTTTCATCATGCTGTGATTACATGTCACAGACTTGAAGAACTATCCTGGTTACTTCAAAGCCGGGCCTTATTATCACAGCTGCTACTATTGATCATGCTCTGGGTAGAAACTAAAGCAAAGCAAGAAAAATATGGCATGTTTTTGGTTTGTTTATGGTTGATTTTGCAATGAAATTCTGTTCCTCTACCCCACACCCCTGATATCATGTGAGCAAAGAACCAGCAAAGGAAATGAGGACGTGTGTAAGCATTGAAATAATGCATAACATAAATATGGTATTATCACTAAAAAGTAATTTTCCTTGCATTTGTTTAACTGGATTTTGTTACGACTGGTTATTGTAAATAGAAATATGCAAACTGCGAAAAGCTCTACAGCGATGGGGTTGACTAAATGTTCATTGGAACTGAGCAAAGTAAGAGGGGAAAAAAAAAAAAAGTATAAACATGAAGACCCTGGTTTAAACCAACCCCTCATCTTCTCAGTACCTCTCCATAGCCAGTGAATCAGCTGTTGTCTGTCACTGAGGGTGTGTGGAGTACAGGGTCCTGCCAGGATTCGAACCTGGAACATCTGCATGGCCAGGCAGAGGCCCCCCGGAGCACAGAACCAGATGTGTACTCTCGGAAACAACCTCAGGACCAGAAACAGACTGATTGTGTGCTACACTATAGATATGACTTATTTAGTGGTCGGGTTTCTGCTGGAAACAGAATATGATGTGATAATTACTGAATGATTCAAGTGGGGAAATAATCTATGATTTTCATTTTTAACCGTGTTTATCTGTAAACTGACGTCACACACTCCTCCACTGTCTGTCTGGTAGGTCAGATTTTACCTTGTGCCTGCTTTACACAGGGCAAAGCTTTAACCTTCTTTGTTGGTAAAGTAAGCCTGGGGTCATCTACAGTCAGTCCCAGCACTGTGCCTGGGGGGAGCTCTCCAGTCGAATAGATGCCTGTATGAATTACACAGTCATGGTTAGATAAACATGTGCACACACACCCAGATTGCAAAACGTAAGTACTAGGTAAGAAAAAAACTATTATATTTTGATTACCATTAAGAATAAACTAAACAATAGACCTTTCAGTATGTGATAGACATCAGCTTGTTGTTGATGCAGATTCATCTTGCTCTCGTCTTTGCAGTGTTCAGGCCACCAGAGGGAAGAGGGCTGGGATTTATTCATTTCCTTAAAGCAAAAGGAAACCCAAATGAGACAGTTATTCAGAGTGAAATGAAAATTAATTTTGAGAGATCTGATTTTATTGTTACCAACACCATAATTCCTACATCACAGTCTGTGGCAGCCTCCAATGTTTCCGCCAGAACAGAATGGGATTGTGGTCCAATCAGGCGGTAGCGCACAATCTCCATTGTGAGGTCACTGCAACAGATCCACAAGGAAATTTCAAATTAAATAATTTAATTCCCACCACAATTCAGACTGAAAGTTATTCATCCAAACCAAATTTAACACAATTTGCATCCCAATGAAATTTAAAACCACACTAACTTTATAACTATTCCAGTTGAGCTTGACTTCCAGGTAACTGGGGTGGTGGGAGATCTGGTTCCATCACCCAGGATCTTCTTGGCTGGAGGTCCACTGGAAACCCTACAGCTTCGCTTTCTCTTAGTTCCAGTTATCTGCTTGGTCTCAGGGTTTTTTTCAGGCTTTGGCCCTGGTTCTGGTTCTAGGGTAGGAACAACCTCAGCAGGTGTCACCACTGGAACGACTGAAGGAACTACAGCCTCGCAACACTGGCACACAGTTCGTAACTCAGGAAGAAGGTCCTGCAAAGAGCACACAGTTACTGGAGTTAACAGTCTCGCCGCCTCTCCATTCACTACCATGTCTACTTTGACCACAAAACTATTTTACATTTTTGTCTATATAAAATTACATGGTATGATTTTGATGTATAGACCTTTGCAATAACCCATTACATCCTTAAACTCCATCATACTTTTTTAATAATGGGATGAGCCCAAATCCACAGCTGCCTGTGGGTTGAGCCCTGTGTACGGGGTCTCCAGAGGAAGGTGACAGGGCCCAGGGGCTGTGAGGGGTACTGTCCTGCTTTGTACACCATCACACTGCCCTGTCTTCGCCCTGATAGACTCAGTGCTGCAGCAAATGTAGGACCTGGAAACACACACCACACACCTATTACTGTAATTATTCAAACTTTTAAGTTATTATTGAAACTTTTCGGAAAGGAGTGCCGATCTACTTATCTTTCATTAGACTGTGTGTCTCCAACAGTACACAAATTACCACTCAAAACTTAGAGAGAAAGGACGCATGGTGACCACAGGTCCAAATGATCAGTATGTTTGAGCACTTAGTGAATGAAGACAAAATGTGTGTATTTGTGGTTGCGGTACGGTGTATTCTCACCGGCTTCCTTGCTGGTCAGCTGTGACAGAGAAGCCAGCAGCTTGTCTTCCTCTCCCTGTAGCTCTATGCAGCAGTAGTAAGAAAGGTCCTGAGATGACAAAAGCAAAAAAGTCTCACTTATTTTACTGGTACTGAAATCCCTTTAATCAATCAATTCTATTTTTGTGACAAAAACACACACCCAACACAGTCAATTCTGTGACGGTTACCTGCAGCAGGCAGTGGCCGCTCATTGCCCTGTAGCAAGGCCGGTAGCATTTGTATGTCGGTCTGTCCCCCAGGCAGTAGCCCCACTTTTTAACCATGTGGAAGCGCTTGGCGTGCCAAATGTGTGTCTCCAGCCACATGTTCTTCCTCTGCCGGCGGTTAAATTCCAGCAATAGATTTCCGTGCCGGCGGCGGGCCTTGCGGCTCTTGCTCTTTGCCTGTTCCTTCTTCTTCTTTGAGCCGGCCTGGAGGCTCTTCTCCCGCTGGAGGAAGAATGAAACAGAAATGTCACCAAACATGTCAGAGGTACTCAGAGGTGTTAAACCTGCTATTTGATGTAGGACTCCAAGGGACATTAACATGCATAAAGGAAACATTTTTAACTTTACCATTCGGTTGGCCACATCTCTCAGCCTGCGAGGGAGACGCTTGGTGTTGTGGCTCATAGCCCGTCTCCTCATGTGTTTGGGCAGGGCTCCGCACACATGGGAGCTTCCTGTTGTCACAGTGACGGCTTTCAGCATAGCCCTGACCTCTGCCGACCTGGCCCTGGCAAAAGCTCCAGCTGAATAGGGATGGGAGCGAGGGAGAGGAGAGGAGGCATTGAATTTTAGATGTCTTTAATCTGACTGACAGTCCAATTTAAGTTCATAACCAATTTCTTCCACTTTTTGCAGGACGGCACACAAAACAGAAAATCTGCACCACATGAAAACAATGGACCTAAAATAAAATCTGATCATTTTTTCATTTAGAGTACAGTGTGAGTTTGTAGAAGTAGGACAATATCTTTACCAGTGATTAGCTTGGGCATCTCCTTAGCATACCCTCCACCATCTTTCTGGTGTCCACGGACCCATCCAGCCCGCTGGTGAGGGTTCTTTGGCCTTTCTGTAGATGGACGTACATCGGATGGACCATCATCACGCCCTCCACCTGTGGGAAGATCATTATTTAGTCATTTCAGGGCCATCACAGGTAAAACTGAGAACGTGTCTTAGGCTGAGTTTCCAGCCAGGCAAAACACTGTGCTGCCCTGGAGCTACGGACTTTCAAGGGCAATTGTTTCTATGCCAGTGACCTGATTATTAACATTTTTGTTTGGTAAAAAAGCACAATAAAAACAGAAATGGTAGGTATTAATGTATTTATGTGATTCTGCCTGAGAGTAGCCATGTGGCAAAACCTTTAATATGTTGGTAATGTGCTTTCACAGTTTTTGCACATTCCTACACAAATCTGTGTTTGATTGGATTATTTCATAGGAAGTGAAGGAACACACTGCAACTTAGTAAACCTGGGGTGGAGCACTATTACAGCATAGGAACCCACAACTCATTTGATCTCTTAATGAGTTAATTCAACCCTGAATGACAATATTATTGCTTTTAGATGAACTGTCATTCTATTTACAAGGAGGTTTGGATTAACTGAAGACAGTAGAGTTGACAGAGACTGTGTGCTGTATATGTCTAACGATGTATTCGTTAATGTTGATTAAATCAGAGACATGCAGACAGGAATCAATGATGCAGACTGAAATGAGCTGACCATGCAGCAGCAGCAAGAGGAGACGAGGTCATGGCTTTGGAGGGACGGGGACACACAGTATCGCAAGAACAAATGCAGAGACACATCTGACCATAAAAAGAGATGAATAAAGAAGGAATAGTACCGGTAACCGAGGTGTCTCCTCCGTTCTGGCTGCTGCCGGATGGATACTGCACACTGACGGGCTGGTTCCTCATCTTCTTGCCCCGCATCTTTACTTTAGCTGCAGACATTTTCTGCAGGAAACAAGAAGGCACGTTTCAGACGCCGGCTGTCCGTCGTGCTGGTTGCTAAAGGGAAAGCTGACACTACATCCCACCTAACGTCAACCTAAAGTTAACCTAACGTTACATGACTTGCCAATATTGCTAACGTTAGCCAGCTAACTTACGTTACCCCACGTAAAGTTGGGGTGTTGGTTTAATAAACAAAACACAAATACAACATATGTAATAATTAAGTAGAGAATTGTTACACAGCATACGTCCACCTCTTGATTCCCCAGTATGTCTGTATGTCACAAACTTTGTTCACAATGTAGCGTCCTCTCTTCACAGTTAGTTAGCTACCATGTGAGTTGTCCTCGCAGCTGGCATGATCAGGTGTGTTGTATTCGCGGATATGTAGTGTGTCATAGGGGATTGTAGGTGTCGATGCGGATTATGTAATCGGCGCAACGAAACATTACACTACCAACCAACCTTCATTCTCTTTGAAATGTTGTGTTGTTTTTCACGAGTAGTCTTCATTTGATCATACAGTATGTATGTATACCCGTACGCGTACAGAAACATTTAAAATATACATATTTTAAATATGTATTGCGCGTCTAAAACGTCCTTTACAGTAAATCAGCGCTCGTTACGTCATCCAGTACGCTTGCAGTGTTTCCTCCTCCTGTCTCGCAGCTCTGTTGCAGCACTTGTTTCATTCACTCGGTTTGATTCCATATTCCCGGTAGAATGTCTGCATTGATCAGGAGGATCATCAGTACAACTAAAGCTCCCGCTGCTATCGGCCCGTACAGGTGAGAGCTCTGACGGCCGATCCGAGGGCTGAAAGTCACAGCTGGTTTACAGCTGACGCAGAATAACAGTTATACACCACATGTTGAGAGTGTTGGTAAGATAGTAAGAGAGTTATTTCTATTTTCTCCATGTAATTAGGCTATACAGTTGTGTTGAGTGCACAGTGTTGTCCAGTAGGAGTGGCTGGAGGTAGAGCAGTAGTCCCTCTAACTGTGCGCAGGAGCAAGGTACAAGAATTTAGGATTGCACTTTGAACTTTGTAAACTATTGAAAGGCTAAACTAATAGGATCAACTGCAAACTGTGTTCATAGTTGGAGTTTTATTGTTTTAACGCAGCTCTCTCTTTACCAAGTTTAGTAGCCTATGACTTTGCATTCAAATGGTTGTATTTTGTATTTTTCAACATTGGAAATTAACTATTAACGATTAACTATTTCTGCATCTGCTCTCCTACTGTAGCAGTGAAAAACACTAGACAGGACAAGAAGGCTTCACTCTCTTTCCTCTAACCCTGCCTTTAATTCAATGTAGATGACTCTTTGTTCCCGTTTGTTTGTGTCCCAGCCAAGCAGTAGTGGTAGATCGGACCATGTACATCTCAGGACAGCTGGGGATGGATCCTGCCAGTGGACAGTTGGTGGAAGGGGGTGTTCAGGCTCAAACCAGACAGGTGACCCACTATAAAAACACCCACCTATCATTAATTCATTCATAAACCAGGAGCACTGCATTAAGTAGATTAATTTGATGCTTGCTTTAGGATCTCTCATCTCATTTTAATCAAATTTTCCATCAGCTTGTCTCACAAATGAGCAAACCAAAATAAAACACTGAATTACAGAGCACCTACATTTGAAAGTTCTTTTCCCACAGGCTCTTGTGAATATGGGTGAAATCCTTAAAGCTGCCGGGTGTGGTTATGAGAACGGTGAGAAAAACTTTACTGGCTTATTGCATTTTGAGTTGAACAGTTTTTCATCGCAGACATAAACATACATTTTTTTCCTTGTTTCCTGCAGTTGTCAAAACCACAGTGCTCTTAGCCGACATGAATGACTTTACTAGTGTCAATGATGTTTACAAGCAGTGTGAGTATCATTCATTCACTTATCAATAGGATTTTATATTTGCAATTTACTGCTGAGCTATGGGGGGGAACTTGCTACAGGCCTTGTAACCAAAAGTTCATCACTTTTGCCAGCAGGTGTCACCACAACACAGGGAACCTGCGTTAACCAGGCGTATATACTGACTGAATAGGTGGTGTTTCACTGGGTTTGCTTGAAGCTGCTAAACTTTGCCTTTGTACATACTGTTCTCACTCTCACCCAGAGTTCACATGATTAATTGGTTACTTGTTCTAAGTGCTTATCTATGGTTATACACTCTTTATTATTTCTCTGTAAATACCTTTTACATAAAATCAATCATCATCATCAAATCTTAACCACTGTATTTGTCTGGGCACATCTTAGAGATAATTGTTATCCTTCAATCTGCCTCCTCATATTGTAAATATGCCGAGAAGGATCCAGAGCAATTACACTCAGAAGTATGAAACACAGCTGACAGCTGATCACACTTGTACAGGGACTGTTGACGTTTGCTGAGTCACTAAGAAGGGTGAAACCTGAGCTGCCACTGCCAGTGGATTTAAGCCTTAAACCAAATGTCAAACAAAGTGCTACATCTGATGCTCCAAGGGCAGCCAAGAAATCCTTTAACTCTAATTACAAAGCCCTCATGGGATCGCAGAAGTATTCTATATGGAGAGAGTAAGACTTTCATCACCGAAGCAACCAATATTGTCTATGTCAGTGCTTGCATTTGAGTGGGGGTCCAGCCTCTTGTGATTAAGCCACAAAGGCACCAAGAAAGCAACAAAAAAGGAATAACAAATGCACAGGGTGAGAAAAAAGCGAAGCAAAAGTAGGGGAACAGAGAGGCACCATCCAACCCATTCATTGGCCATGCACTTCTTGAGTCAACAAGAACGAGCCACGAAGGAAGTAATTAATTATAAAGAGAAAAAAGTACAGCCTTCCTTCTATGTGTAGAGAAGGTGCTGGCCATAACAAGATCTGATCCACATGATAATATGGATAAAATAAGTAACACAACAAGGTATGAAACGTTTCGTACTCCAGGCGTTTCCATTTATTACACGCTATTGAGGAGCTTGGCGCGCCCTAACAGGTTGAAGTTGGGTGGAGCTATACTGACGTCTGTGATGTCACCAAACTTCATGAACCAATAAGGATGAAAAGGTTCCGAGTTCTCCGACTCAAGCCTGCCCTCAGTCTTGTGAAGAGGTCTAATCAGGCAAAATAAGTGAAAACACCTGTGCAGGTATCAAATCTATGCAGGGCCTTTAAGTACTTATTGCACTACATTTCCCAGAGATCTCGTGTGTGTTGTGTGTCCAATAATGCAGTCATATTGGATTTTCTGTTGATGAAGTTTGAGTTTCTGTAGGGGTTGCTATTTTCTTTAACCATGTTAAAGTTTCTGCCATGGGGTCCGATTGGACCTGGCAGATGTTTCTAGGGGGGAAAAAAGATTAATTTAAAAAAAGAAGAGATTTTTTACTGTGATATTCTTTGTTTTCTGTTTTTTGCCGCTTGCTTTGCCTGCTTTGCCTATTGCTGCTGTGTCAAAATGAAATTTCTCCTTAGGGGGATAAATAAAGGAATTATCTTATCTTATCATTAGCTGCACCAGAATTAGCTATGAGCTGGCCTGTGCCAACCATTAACTGTCAGTTTTGGCCCTCCAAGAGAAAGCCCTCCCCCCCAATTATAAAGTATAGCTATAATAAAGGCAGTGTACTGTGTTTGTAGAGAAATGTACTTTGCTGTTTTGTCATGAGCAGGAAATGATGGAATCCAGTATGTGACTCAGTGAAACTTTGTAATCTAAATGTTTTCCCAAAGACTCAGTATTTACACAATTCCTTGTATTCAAGAGGGTTTTTCTTAATGAACACCTACCTGACACTCGAGGTTCAGAACAACAAACACAAGTTTTTATAAACTAAATGCGGCCTTTAAGAGACATTGTGAGTGTCTCACAGGAAAAGCTCAGGTGTACCTTATAACAGTAACGAGAGCTTGTGCCCACTGGGACAATGCAACAGAGCCCCTAATTAGTGTTATTAGTTACACCTGTGCTTTTCTTACTGCGACAGTCCAAGTAAGGTTTTATTTCATATCAGTCAGTGGCACAAAGTAGCACAATGGTCCTTTCAGATTAACATGTGTCTGATTATAACTTCAATACGAGTTACACTATTGTCAAGATTTTTCATTTAAGGTTTTTCTGGTTACTTGTTGTCAAACCTGGCCAAAGCTCAGCCATGTGTCTGTTTCATTTAATATCAGTATGTGTGTTGGTAACCTAATTCCATTCAATGTGCTGCTATCTCTTTAGTCTTCAGCACTAACTACCCAGCCAGAGCTGCCTACCAGGTTGCTGCTCTTCCCAGGGTAAGCATATAACAGACTTGTGCTTTCCATTGACTCTGTAGTGGATTTAACTGAGCTGTATGCTCTTTCTCCGTCTCTCTCTCTCTCTCTCTCTGTAGGGTGGACTGGTTGAGATTGAAGCAGTGGCTGTATTGGGCCCTCTGACCAATGCTTCCTGAACAACTTTAACTATCAAACAATAAAAACTGGAAAACTCCCAATCACTGACAAATGTATAGTATGTGCCTGTTCTTGTTGATCAGCCAAGATTTGTTAAAACAAAATTCCAGTGTAGCATCCTTTCTATTACAGATGTATCATATTTTGTTGTCCATTAAGTAATTTAGCACTGTCATGAACATGTCTTGGGTCATCTGGCAGACTAACAGCAGTCAGTCTCAGTGCACTTTCTCCCCTCTCATTAACATTGATGAGAAGTGTTTTGAACGCTGCATTCTAAATTCCCTCTGCTCACATTTCACTTACAATAGCTGTAAAGTATCTAAGCTTGTTTGCTCTTACTGAATTACACTACCAGCCACGTTGTCACCAGCCATACAGTGTATCTCTCAGTATGCCAGATGATGGATGATGAAGTAGAACTCTAATGTTTTTAATATGCCTAAATGCAGATTTGTTTCACCTTGTGATATGTTTCATGTTCTTCCTCGGAGATTGGTTCTTACAGTATATATTGGATATCTGCTGATGCTGCCAGGGTTGTACATGATGGAAAACCATTTATACATGAGGACAGTATGGATTATGCCCCTGATCATGGTTGGAAATACATTATAGATTACAGCAGTCCTGCTTTAACCAGTGTTGTAATGATTTTTGGCTTATACTATGAGCAAAGGGAGTTCATCACCAATATATCATTCATTTGACTCCATTTGATTTGATGTGGCTTCTTTCTCCATGTGCACACCTTTAGAAAGATTTAATAGAAGATTTGTAGAACAGGGATAGGTGAACACATGCTGTGAAAGGCTGGGCGCTGCAGGATTTTATTCCATCCAAACATCACATCCAGCAGATTGAATTGATTAGGTCCTCCCATCTGGTTTAAAGCAACTGATCAAATATTTATTGTTCCATTTGCCTGTTCGGTAATGAGAAGTATTAACAACATTCATCTTTCTTAAGATTATTGCTCGCTCTGGAGCTCCAGGGTCACACACTGTGCTGTGTATGGTACAATATGCTAATAGGTGAGTTGCATCCTCTCAAACATGGGAAGAAAGAAGCTGAGCTATTAACCCAAATGATGTGTGGTCGAGCCTATGCATGTTTTGTGCACATAATATCATTACTAATTTAAATTGCCAGGGACTACTTTTCCAGTTTCTATGAGCAAAAATGGCAAAAATTATAGTGTAGTAAATAGATATGTAGTTTATCTGAAATTGTACCTGCTGCAGTAATGTTAATGTGTCACTTTAAAAGGTTGTGAGACTACAGGCTATATGACGGAAAGATCTCTTTTATAGGTCAGTCCTGTAGCTTTGAATAATGTAATGAAAACTAATGTGTGCTTCAGCTGTCATACATTTAAACACAGTCCCATTTAATTCAAAAAGCACACGTATTAGTGAGTAAAACTTTATTCTGTACACTAGGTTAGCAGAATCAGACAAAGCTCAGAAAATGAATATATTACAGAGAAAGACACAGATGGAAAAAGATATCAGACATCAAAACAAATTTTTGTTCCCACAACATCCATCAATCACATCTTACATAGTTGAAATTATTTTCTAAGAACTTTATACTTTAACACAGCATGTAGAACTAATGATCATTTAAAAATCATGTCCACTAGGTGACTTCTTACTGTGCTACACATGTATGTAATGCACTCAAGCCAAAACCATTGTGCATAAGATGTTTGTTAGGCCTTTATGGTGCCCTTAAATTTATAGTTGGAAATGCATTTCTGTGTGTGTTATGAACATCTGCAAGATGACATATCAGTACTTGGATCATCTGCATCCTTAACCTGGCAATGATTCATTATGTCATTACTCATCTTTTGCATATCATTTTTCTTCCTTCCACAAAACAAAAACACATTTTATTCATGATTTTTTTCCCATTGAAACCAATAAAGTGATATTGACTTTTTTAAAAGGAAACATGGATTTGACAGTAGTGCTTATCAGTATTACACTGTACACTCTGTTACTCATTTAGTACTATCATTCCTATTAATTAAGTGAACCTTATTAGAAAGGCTGCAATTAAACAATGTGTAAACACCAACAAAATGTGTTTTTATGGCAGAATTTATACTTCATTAAACCTCAGATTCAATCAGTGAAGGTGTTTGTTTCTGTCACCTCAAGCTCTTTGCATAATCTTATTCACAGTTGTGTTTGGCTTGTATTCCTCAGAAGCAGCTATTTTAAATAGTCAAGGATTTACTTTGCAAGCGTCCTTCCCTAGTTCATCACACTGCCACAAGAGTTCACAGATTTCACAGAATATTGCACCCTCCTGTCTCATCTAACCTGTTCTAAGTGTTTTTATTGCAGTTTCTTTGCGTATGCCTGCATGTAGAGTATGTGGCTCGAGGCACGTGAGGTCTCAGTAGAAAAACGTTGTTTATATTTACAAATGTAGGAAAAATCCTGATCTTTCCTAAATGACATGTTATTAAGGCACCATGCATATTAATGTATGTGGTGTACAGTTTGGTGAGCGCTGACGACAATACTGGAAATGTAGTGTTTGTCTTCCTCCAGTAGCTTTGGTTTTTTTTGTTATTTTGGTGAATATCTTCTCTCTGAAAGATAAAGTGAGATAATCCTAAAACATCATATAAACAAAAATCAACTTTTTTCTCCTCTACTGTATGCACCCAGTTTTTACAAAAAAACAACCATAAGAGTATATTCATCATAAAGTATATTCATTATGCAAAGGTGCTGGATCTTGAATTGATTCTGCAGTATTGTCATGGGGTTAAAGTGTGGTTTGTGTTCTTACCAACTCAATCCTCCTTTTTGGCTTTTTCACTCTCCGTATCCTGAGAGGCCTCAGTTGCCGACACTACTGCACACACACACATTGAAAGGAAATCAATACATCACATTTTCATTCAGTACAAGCCACATTGTAGTCTTTCAGGCTGAAAGCACTTTGAGGTTGTTTGACATACAACTCGACCACCACTAAAGACTACTGTCACAATGCACCATAGAGGAGAAGTGAAGTGCAAACATTACTTCTTAAGCACATCTGGTTCTGCTGAACTGGTTTACTAGTGATTTTCCTTACCTTTGAAAACACACACACACAGAGAGAGAGAGAGAGAGAGGTGAGCCTCCAGAGAAAGACTCTCAGAAAAGTTATGCAATATGTCTTCCACAGCAGACCAGTATTCTACACGTGCTAGCTGGAGGGGCGGCTCAGCCCTAAAAGTACAGCATGTTCTCTGAGAGTCAAGACCGGGGTGCACGCTGCACTGAAAACCACAAGCTCTGGCTACTGGAGGTACTGTGCATTTAATGAGTTAAATGCAGAAGTCATGAATTGTACACAGTGTATACTTTGGGTATCTCACAGATTTTAACGAGGGAATCACAATACTTTGTAATTTAAAAAGGTGTTAAATTCCACATATTATGGCCAGGCATGTAAAATAGTTCTGCTGTATCTATCTAAATGAGATTAGCTTCAGTACTCTGTAAAGAAATACTATCCCTACAACACACTCCAAATGAAGCTGAACAGATGCGATGGTGTAAAAGTGAATGATGATCTGAGTAGAACCATACAGAATAATCACAAACACATGGCAACTTACTGAATTTCTCTTTAAAAAAAATTAAAAAAAATAAAATACATTTTACTTCACAATTTTTTGCACGATGATTGGAATCAAGTCAGGGTTGTAGTCCATTTGCATTGTCTTATGTAATTCGAACCAGCAGGGCATGATTATTCTGCAGTCAGTTCACAATAGAGTACAATGAGTGAGAGTTGTGTGACTGGGGCTGTTGTGCTGACAACATGCTCCTGTTATAATCGACACACTCAAGACAAGCCTTCATTTCTCACTCGAGTGTGTGTGGCTGCTTTCTGTTGCTCACACTGCGTTATCTGTTCGGCCTCACGTCCCAACAATATCCTGTTCATCCTGTCAGCTCCAACTAATCACAGGAGTACAGACAGGAACCTATGTGAAGGATTGTTTATTACGAGAATGGTTGAATGGTTTACTGAGTTTGGTGTTGCTAACCATGTGTGTGCTGGATACCCACTTAGTTACCAATGGCAGCACCTTTGAGGGGGTGATGTAGTAAAACGGTCCTTGAAGAGAACAATCTTGGCCATAATTGTAACAAGAAGATGGATTGGCTGGTGAAGGACCATTAATTGTTTACCTGGATGTAAACAAAATCTTCTTATCTATGTGCACATTACTGAGGTTCTGTCTCTGTCTCACCTCTTTCTGCTTGTTTGTACATGATTAGTGAATGTTTGCATGGATTCCCCAGCTATTTCAGCCAGTGGCAATGCTGAGCTGTTTGTTGGCTGACAGTTTTTGGGTGGAGGTCAGTCTGTCAGAATGTGTTGATCATGCCTTATCAAGCAGGTTAAGACATGGTGTGGTGCGTTAAAGTTAGCATGACAGGTTTGCTAGGAAACAATTCAGTGTTTAATCAAGTAAACTACTAAGTCATACACGCCCTCAAGATATACAGCACTCTCCTCAACAATGCAGACATCATCCACTTGAATCCTATTGTTGTCAAGCTTCAGCCATAAAAACTTTTACTTTGGGGGAAATGTGAACACACCACAACTGAAAATCTGCTTTAAATAGCTACATATATACCTCTGTGGGAAGGACTCTTTATTTGACTATACAAAGAAAACAATTACTGACAAGATAAGACAGAGAGCAATATAGAGATGTTTAGGGGTTTCATACCTTTAGGTGAGGGCTCAGGGGCAGGTGCTGGGGTGGACTTAACCACAGGAGCCTCTGCTGGGGCTGCAATGTCCACCGCAGGCTCTGAGATGACGGCTGCTGCTGGAGCTTCAGGGGCTGCTTCTGAAGACACAGCTGGTGTAGATGCTGGAACCACTGCCTCCTGGACCGGCTCAGCAGCAGCAGATTCAGCCTCTGGTGCTGGAATAGGGGGGCAGGGTGTCTCTACTGGTGCAACGGTCTCAGCAGGGGCCGCTGGAGGCACTGTTGCCTCTTCAACAGCAGGCTGCGGCTCAGCTTGGGCCTCAGCTTTGGCTGGAGATAATGGAGGCATCTCTGGAATAGTTGCTACAGCAATCTCTGTATCTATTACAGGCTCTGCTGTCTCTGCTGAAGCCGCATCTGGTACTACACCTTCACCTGGTGCTGGTGCTGCAGCCTCCACTTGGTGCTGGTCTGGCAGCCTTACTTGTCTGGTTGCTGCAGCCTCACTTGGTGCTGGTACTGGCAGCCGCAGCCTCAATCTTGGTGCGGTACTGCAGCCCGCAAGCCTCATGGTAACTGGTTGCTGCAGCCTCAGCTTGTGCTTGGTGCTGCGCGTTCACTTGGTGCTGTGCTGGCAGCCTCACTGGTGCTGGTTCTGGTGCTTGCAGCCTCACTTTGTTTTGGTTCTGTGCTGCACCTCACTTGGTTTGGTTCTTGGGTGCTGCAGCCTCACTTGGTGCTGGTGCTGCAGCCTCACTTGGTACTGCACCTTCACCTGGAGCTGCAGCTTCACTTGGGGCCTCACTTGGTGCTGGTGCTGGTGCTTCACCTGGTTCTGAGGATTCACATGGTGCTTCTGAGGAAGTAACTGGAGCAGCATTGTTAGTTGGAGCCTCTGCCTCCACAGGAGCAGCCACATCCACAGGGGCCTCAGCCACTACAGCTGCTGCCTCTTCCACAACCACTGGGGCCTCTGCTGGCTCAGATACAACAGGTTCAACATCAGGTGTGGCAACTTCAGGAGAGGCCTCAACTGGCACAGTGGCCGCCGCCTCCTCAACAACAGCAGGGGCTTCTGCCTGCACAGCCACAACAGATTCAGCAGCAGGGGCTTCCTCTGTAACCTCAACAAGGGCTTTGACCTCAGGGGCGGCCTCAGCCACTACAGTTTCTACAGGGGCAGCTTCCTCCACAGGGGGGAGTGCCTCCACCACAGCTACAGCAGCCTCAGGTTCAGTAACGGCTTCAGTTGGAGCAGCAACCTCTGGAGCTGGTTCTGCAGGGGTGACAGGTTCTTGCTGTGGCTCAGGAGCAGCCAGGAGGTCCTCCCCAGAGCCAAGATCCTCCTGGGCCTCCAGGGCTATTAAAACGGCCTCCGCCTCGTCATCGGCACCCGGTTGAAGATCGTCTGGTAAAGCAGTCTGCACAGGCAACTGCATCTGGTCCTCGATGGTTTGTGCATCTTCTGCGATGATGCCGTTTTTGACTGCTGACAGTACAGGGATGACAAAAGAGAAGCTTGATTATGATTTACTATTTGCATGTGGCACTTATCAGTCTTCATCAGTCCTTTCAGCTAAAGAGGACCTGTTAATTTGTAACAGTAACGACATGACAACGCTGAACAACAAAAAAAGCTTTCAAGAAGATTCCTCATTTTATTAAGCTTGAAACTTCTTGGGGGGTCCTTGAGCTAATCTTTGAATTGAATGGTTTAGTTAATAAATGACCACATTTGTCATGAAAACATTCTCATCAGTGTCATAAAATGTAAACCCTAAGAAAACCCTAACTGACATTCCATCTAATTTTATTTCTAAACTTTTGCAGAGAATGATAATCTGCAAAAAATCTGTTTCATTTAGAGATCAGCAGAGTAAAGCATTACATAAGCCTGATAATAAGAATAAATTTTTATGTGCATTTGGACTAGAATTTTTATTTAACTCTTGTTTTACCAAACAAATATAACCATAAATACACCAAAACAACAGCTTAACTGAACATGGAAGGCAGGATAGGAAATAAAGCAGTAAGGCACAGAGAATGGCTGCTAGAGAAAACATCCTTTCATTTCCTTGGTTGAAAATATGATTCATTGAAGTTGGTGTTTGCCTAAAGCCCTGAGGAACGCAAGTCACTCTCAGAGGAAATAAAATACACGTGACAATGGCTTCTCGCTTGCCTTTGAGGAGACACCCTACGTTTTCCCTTTCCCAGACCCCTGCTCTCATAACTGTGGGTGTGAACAAATCAGTCTTTTGGTGAAAATACAGTAGATGAGGAACAATAGCAGTAACATCTCAGTTACAGGAATCACAGCAGCCTAACAGAAGCTTTTAAAGTGTCTTAGTATAGTATGCCATAGCTAACCTCTTTGCAAAAACACTGGCTGGACTTTGTTCACAAATGAGACAAACCAGAAGCTGAATGGGTGGATAGTTTGGACGCTGCAGCTTCCTGATTTTATTTGTCTGTCAGAAGTGGTAAAAAGAGCGGAGAGTGATGGGTGGAAGGGAATGTGACGGCCTGGCAACTCACTGAAAGTGAGCCAGTGGAAGAACACGTAACACGGAAAGGTTTATGTGAATAGAAATATTTCTAATAATACCACATTTGAGCTAAAGGTGTAAAAGCTTGCAAGTTTTTGGACCGGTGATTTTACAACCTTAAACGCCCGGCAACAGCTTTTGACTTGACACACTCTTTTTATAGATTTCAAACATGTTCTCCACCAGTCTCCACTTCTTTAAGCAGAAATCCACCTCAAACACCAACTATCATTAAGAACACAAAGCTGTTGTCTGCACAGAAGGCCAGAAACTGCTGTTGAAAAGTGTGTTTGGGTCGAGACAGAGACGGCCTCTCCAGGCATGGATGACTCGTGTGTCAACATGATTTAACAGCCAGAGATGACAGAGATCCCAGTCAAAACAGTGCCACGGCTGGCCAAGAGCACAGAGGGGAGGGGAGGGGGGCAGACAAGGGGGCCCGGATAGGGGATGGGACCAGTGGTGGCTTGGATGGCATACAGCTGGTTAGTTAGACAGACTGTACACTGTATGATTTGAACCTCCACCCATTCAGCCACATTTAGAGAAGCCTGCCTGGGCAAAGAGTACAATAACTGGTTTTCTTATTGGGGGTGATGTAATTGCCTGGAAAGGGAGCTGGGCTTCTCCAGGTGACCATAGCTGGCTGGCTGGAGAGACAATGCCCTGACACAAACATCACACAGTGACATAGTGGAAGATGGAAATGCTGCACATGAATACAGAGGAACTACTTCACACTTCCCCTCAAAAACTATTAGCCAAATCTTTTCCTTATTCACATTGAAGTGTTAACTTGACTTGAGCAATCACACACTCAAAGGAACGCATTCTAACAAGGGCAGCAACTGTGTCATGTGTATGTGTGGGGAGATGCAGTGAGAACATATTGTACATGCAGCCGTGACTGGCATGACATAGCCATGTGCCAGTAGGTTGGGCCCATGAATGGACAATCATGGTCTGTGTCAGGTCTATTGGTGGGCGTCTACACAGGCTTGAACACAGAGTCCATGCACAGCCAAAGCCCGCAGAGCATGACTACATGTTTAGATGCAAGACTGTTTCAGAGCCAGGCTTTGCTGCCCCCATTGCAGAGGAATTTCAGAGTAGCCTGAAAACATTTGGGTTCTTTTCAAAAAGGGTATCAATCTCCTCGCCCCCTCCTCTTTCTCCTTTGCAATCCTGCATCCATTGTGTGAGCTGTAAATTCCTGGAGGGAATTTCAAACACGCCTTATCATGCATACACAGATTATAATCTAAGCGTCTTTTGGGGAAACCCTTTGCATACAAACTTTGGAGGTATGAAGACGATTAACACCATCTTTTGGTTCACATCACTTTGGCCTTGCAGAAAAAGGCTCTTTTGTGTGTGTGTGTGAAAAATACAAATCAGACTACTGCACAGTGGCAGAAAACAGGTTTGGTTGCTTGCCTCAGGCTGCAGATAGACTCCTAAACACTCCCAGCTGGCTTCCACACACTGTAGGAGTTGTATCTAAAGTTCTACCAATCTAGGTTTATCTACATGTAAAAGCCCAAGTTAGCTTGATGGAATGAGGTTGACAACTATACAGGATCATACACGTCAGCTCCTTCTCAGGTCTCATTTCATCAATAAGTCATGCAGTGCAGTTTAGAGTTTTTGTTTTGTCTTTCAATAGACATTCCAGCTAGAGATACAAGACTAAAAATAAATACCAACCACTTTGGGGGGGAAATGGATGAACATGAATAATTCTCTGCTTGGAAGTACTGTAGTATGCTGTGCAGCAGAGTGGAGTGAGAAAGCACACGGTGTACCAGACAAGCACTCACACACCCCTCAGCAAGACTTGACTCAATGCAAACTTAAAGCAACTACTCTATAGTTCTTGAGGAAATGTATAAATCACATTTCATGCTCCACAGTTAAAACACACAGAGATAAATGACACTTTTAAACATTTTATCTTCTATATAGATGATCACTACTTACCCACTGTATCTCCATTGCTCTCCTCTGGCTTTGTACCTGGTCTTTTCTCTTGATCAACAGTCTGTGCGCTGGATGAAGAGCACCCCATGTTTGAAGAAAGAGTTGAGACAAATAAAAATAAACTAGGAACCTATTACAGAAGTAAGACAAGTCCACAAGTGCTCTCTGTTAGCAAAGACAGAGGCTGCCTGGCAGTGAAAACATGGACAGCTACAGCTCTTCAGTTCCTAAGAGTAGCTGTGCACCATTATCTCCCCTTGTCTCTTTGTGTGTTTATGCATGGCCTGCTGCCCTCTTGCCCCAGATCTGTTGTGAGAATGCAGCTAAGCAGAGCAGAGCAAAGCAGAAAAGAGCAGGCAGTACTGCTGAATATTCCCTGACTGCCGCCTGCTCACAGTCACACTATTCATACAGGAGGAGGAGGCAAACATGTGCTTGAAGTGAGTGTCCTCCCCTTTATAGGAGGGTCCCCATTGGAAGAGATCCACCATCTGGTGGTAATGTTTAGGGTAGCACACGTATAATGTATAATATATGTGTGTATTTATAGAGTATTTCTATTTTTGTAATGTTGTAGTGTTGGAGCCATGGAAAGTATGGAGCTCAGATAATACTGGCTGAACAGCTTACATTCATTTCTGTGTGTGTTGTAACAGATAGTAATATAGATCATTGGTTCCCAACCTTTTTCCTTAAGAGACTATCACTGAGTAAAGTGACCACCCTTGAGTAAATGAAAAATTTTATGGATATTTCACATCATATTCAATTTGGTTTTTTTATTTTGAGCAGATTAGTTCCTGTTCATTGCATCAGAGATGAGTTTTCCAGTTATTGTAGGGACCTTTAATACGATTTTCTGTGTTCTGTTTTTTATTTAAATACCCCCCACAGTTAAAGCGTAATAAAAAGAAAACCCAAAATGTGAAGTGTAAAATATTTATTCGTCAGTTTACTGTACAAAGAGTTATTAATTTGATTTGGCATTACATAACAAAGAACATTACAGACAAAAATACATGTGTATAAATAGCAGTAGATTGTATTTGCATATGTGTCAGTGTAGCTCGTAGAGCAGGATTAAAGGGATCCTGTGTGCTACACTTCAGGAAAGGCGAGCCTCTGCCTTTCATTTGCGCACAAGCTGATTTTCGAGCGTCTCCAGCTTCTTCGACATGGCTTCAAGTAGGCATGATAAGGAAAGACACAGACTCTTTTTAATAACCTCAAATTATTAAAGCTTACCAGAAAAATGTCAGTAGATGATGCTTGTAGTAGTCATCTGCAAGTTAAACAATGACACACTGTTTTATATATCACACTGACTCCTATTTTATTTGTTACCCGTGTACAGATGTGATATTGCTATAATAATATTATCCCTTCACTTTAGTATAATGCAAGTATGTTGCCTCTTTGCTGGTCCTTCATCTCAGTGTGTTCAATTTTCATGCAGTTTACAGGAATCTAGAAAGAAAGAAAACCCTTAAATTGTGTTTTGTGCTTGGTCCCTGCATGTGTCAAAATTAAGACTTTTTGACACATTTGTTTCTAAAACTAAAGACACCTGGTATTGTCCCCTGTTCTAACTTATATTGAAATGTTTCCCGAAGCAAACATGTTATCAGACCTAATAATCCATAGTTACATACTCTGTTTCTAGGTTGTCCAGGTTAAAAACAGTGCATAAATATTTTTTGCCCTCATCTGCACTGTTAGTTTCTTCACTAGCATCACAGTCTGCATCCTCAGAGACAGTTACACAGACTGAAAACTGTAATCACATTGTGTTTTTTTCTGTTGATCTCTTTAACAGTGAGTAAATGTCGCTGTCTATTCATTTGCACTGGAGAATTTCAGAGGCAAATTTTCCTAAGATCGCCAAAAAAACCTCAAACATATTGAATGTTACTGTAACTGTGGAGTCGACAGTTATTTAGAAAAAGGATATTATTCTGCACCAGGTCCTTCAGCTTCTCAGTGACCTGGTTTTGAAACATGATCACATTCTCACACTGGCACATGTTTTCATCAGATGGTTTCTCTGTGGGAAAAGAATAAATGAGATGAGAAGATCCTCCTGTCCTTGGATCTGTTTATTTTTGTCTTACCTTCCCTATCTTACCCTTTTCGTCCCCCTATATTTTCTAATCTGCAAGTTTCCCTTCCTGTCTCTCATAGCAGAGCAAAGAAAAACTGCACAGTACTGCTGCCTGAAACAATGTATAGAGTTTGTGCTTGAAACTGTGACGGTAGTGGCAGCAGGGGGCAGTGATGCGTCATTTTAATGGAAGAGAGCATTTTAAGGAAACTGGCCTGTAAGACTGAACTAATCTGACTTTCTTATAGATTTAAACACAATTTTGGAGACCCTGCTTGGTGGGTTGAAGCTTCTTTTAGTTCAGGTCAAGTAAAGTACCTTTACATATCCTGGACTTGAGCTTCTTTGTTATTTCTCCCATGTTCTCAAAATCTTCGGCATAATAAAGGTGCTTCTCATCAGGTTCTGAAGCTATTTCTCTCAGCTCCTGTTCAATGGCTTTGCCAACACCCAAAGCATATATTGTGACCCCTGGAAGCAACAGAAAACCAGATAATTAGAGGAAACTTCCAATAGAGAGGATTCAGTTTGATTAAAACCTGTAGTGCATCTGAATGGCAAGGCGAGATAATATTAACCAGATAATATGATAAATAATGATAATAACCAGATTTCTTTGCTTTATTAGCCCATTCAGACACATCATCCTGCGATCTTCCATCAGTAAACACAATGCTGACACGTGGGATGTTCGGCCTGGCTCCTTCTTTAGCAGAAAAGCTGAACTCAAACATGTGACGTAAGGCCGAGCCAGTCATGGAGCCTCTCCCCATGTACTGCATCCGGGACACAGCCTGCTTGATGGCCTGCGCTGTGGTGTACTGGCCCAGGGTGAACTCTGTGCGCACTTTGGTGGAGTACTGAAGGAGGCCAACATGTGTGCCCGGCCTGGAAATGTCCAGCGAGTCCACAATGCCGTTTACAAATTGCTTGACCAGCTCAAAGTTGGCAGGGCCCAGACTCTTAGAGCCATCGATTACAAAAACCAGATCCATGACTCCATCGCCACACTCTGGCTCTGTCAAAAAAGGACATCAAATACAAGTTAATTGCATTAAGTGGCTTCAAGTTTCTACATCACACTTGTATAAATTGCATACTGGACTAGGGGTTCTATATCACAGAAAGAGATCATACTTTTGCAGCTCTTCCCATCTTCAGCCAACATAAATCCTTCAAAACATTTGCAAATGTAGGAGTCAGTGGTGCTCACACACTGGTGTTCACAGCCATGGTCCACAGTCTGACAGAGGTCCAGACCTGTGAGTTTCATTACAGAGACATTTAAGTGCCAAAAATATATTTAATTTGTTAGATACATTGTGAAAGGCACTGAGTTGTTGGAATTTGCAATCATGGAAAAGTGTATTCTTAATTGCATGTTATTGTAAATGTAAGTCCTCTGTCAACATTATTATTAGACTAATAACTATCTCAAGACATGAATTCTGCATGCTGGTAAACATAAACACAGAATATCCCCTTAATCCGCTGGCAGGGATTAAAACTGACCTCACAACTGGTGCAGAATTCATTCAAAATTATGTAACGTTCAAATACCCAAACAGGGGACAGAAACGGTCATAGCAACATTGCTGATGAAAGAATATATTTAGAATTTTGTTGACTTTGCCTCACATATTATCTTTTTATATTGTACAATACATTTAAATCAGCGTTTTCTTCACTGATCTACAGTTTAAGATTAATTGAAGATTAACTCTCTGCTACAAAACTTACACTGTTGACTGTGTGTCATCTCTTGTAAGGCGATTCTATTTTAGTGTGTCACATCAAATCATTGCGCCACTAAATGCTCATGACAGTGAATGAGCTTGGACTCACTTTGACATGTTCTTCCATCAGGTCGAAGTGTGAATCCATTTCTGCATTTACACATGCAGGAATCTTCTGTATTCATAAACTCTTGTTCACAGCCGTGTTTCCCTTCAGCACAATGGTCTGTCTCTGAAGCAAACAGTTCATCAATACAGACAGGATAGGGGAGTAACAGACCTTTTTCACAGCAGCCATTTTGACATGAAAAAGAAGGGTAAACACTACTATTTCATGTCAAAATGCTGTGAAAAGGGTCTATTGTTCAGACACTAATGATTTAGGTTACATACAGGTTTGAGGACATCTACGATAGCTACTAGTATATGTAACATTACATGTGATGTAAACCAGTAAGACATCATTATGAAAGAAATCTTACTAAGATTATAATAAGAAAATCTTTCTTTTGTTAAAATAAGAGGAAAGAAACATCAGACACTCACTCTTGCATGTTTTCCCATCAGGCCTGAGTGTGTAGCCTTTCCTGCATTTACACACACAGGCATCTTCTGTATTCATAAACTCCTGTTCACAACCGTGGATGCCATCAGCACAGTGATCTATCTCTGCAGGAAATAGTTGGTTTATCAGGTGAGGTACAATTAAGGAGTAATTACTTCTACTACTTACGTTCTGGTACTCATTTCTGCATTGGAAAGATCGAACAGATTCTATCAAATGTACCGAGCACATTTTCTGTATGTTCCTTTCCTGCATTCTTCATATTGTTCCATTGTATCCGTAAGCACAGAGGAAATCTAACTCCAGACAGTTAAATAATCTTGAGGCCTAGACCTAAACATAACAACTTTGCATGTACAGCCCCTCTATCCTGTAAGAGCATCTCAAGTCTTCCCAAAAGTCATAAATCAGGTTTCTTCATACAATGTTTAAACAATCCTCTAGTAAAGGAAATCCTACTAGATAGATCTTAGAGAGAATGCGCCTTCTCAGTATTTTGTTTGTGGTGCTAAACCAAAGTGTTAAGTTCCAGTGTTGAACCCAGGATGAACAACCAAAGGCAAAAAAAGGTAGCCTCAGCACGCTCTGATGAAGGCCATCAGGCGGAAATGTTAGAATGTTTTTTTTTTGGATGTGGGCCAAAATAAATTGATGAAACTAAAATTAGTCAACTTTGTCCTGAAATCTGTGTGTGTGTGTGTTACCTTTCATGCATTTGGGTGTCCATCCTGGATTCAACATTGAAATCCTGCAAGAGTTGGGACCGATCTGATACAGTATCGGTATCCTGTGCCGATACAAATGTAATTATCAGAGATGGGACTGATGTCACTGATCCACGTACCAATCCAGATTCCATAGTCTGACAGACGTCTGGGGCTTTTCTGGAGTACATTTTTTTTACTACTGTTAATATATGTGTGAGGATCAGCGAGATATAGAGATGGAAAGAAGGTAAGGAGGTATACTA